CTGAAGATCTTCCAGGTATAAAAAATCTTATGATATATGTAACAGATGGCACCCATTTATTGGAGGTGCTGGCGGGAAAGGATAGGATCGGAGGAATATTTCACAACTATCAGGAGCCGAGGACGTTCATCACTAAAATTTCTACAAAATATTAGATTAACACACAGTTGTTGACACAACAAACTTCTACTGGTCTTACCGTCAAGCTTCGATCTGCGTGATCGCAGATTATTCTACAGAAACTTTATTTCAAATATCACCAGGCATAGAGAGATACTCTAGCTCGAGAAGGCTCAGATCAGGTATTTATTGGCCATTAACCAAATATAGCACTCACTCCTGCAGCTATCGAAGTCACCATCAAAAGTCGGCTGAATATTTCGCTCAGCAATTAGCAATGCAGGTGTGCAAAATATAGCTTGACCTCAATCTTAGAGAGTATTGCTGATATTGGTGGTATCTTGTGTTTCCCCCTCAAACGATTAGTGAACTCTTGGAGAAAACTCAGGCTACCCAATTATACAAAGAGCAGCAGTAGACGGTCCGAAATTATCTCTGTAAATGCCCGGCATTGGCACTCAAAAGGCATGGTACACTAGGCAGATTCTCCATCTAAAATCTAATGGAGATCTCCAAATGCCTCATTACTAACATAAAAAGATTCACCGACAAATCAAAGTGGTTTTACGATACTGACGAAACATGAAAGCAGATAATATCGTCGACCAGAGAAATTTGAGTCCTGTGTGAGTAGACTACCTTATCAAGGTCCTCACCCTATCCATGGCTACTCTCATTATCCCGGACACCTGGAAAATGGGGAGAGTGGCCCCACTGCTTAAACCAGGGAAACCTGCCAACAAGGGATACTCTTATCATCCGATAACCCTCCTTTCCCCGGTAGCGAGGACATTTGATACGAAACTACTCCCGCACTACATAAACACAGTGATCCCAGCGAAGCATCAGCATGAGTTCCTTAAAGTGCACAGCACAACAACAGCGTTTAACGCCATAAACACTCAGATAACACGTGGCCTAAACCGAAACCTGCCCTGTAAGAGAACAGACCTATTAGCGTTGGATTTGTCAAAGACGTATCGATTGTTGTTTATGGTGACGACTGTTCAATAATGGCGTCTGGTATAGGAATTGATGACTTGTGCTCGAAAGTAAACTCCGAAATTTATCGCTTCTTCACTGCAAGGAGCCTAACACTCTTCCTTACGAAATCCGCGGCAACCCTCTTGACCACTTGGAAGAAGGAGATCAAACCAATTCCGACGGTGAATATCCCGAAAACCCTCGAAGTTACCCTTGATAGTCTGCTCTCATTTTCGACACATATAACCGCAATTGTCAACAGAGTACACAATCGCAACAAGGCCGTAAAGTCGGTAGCTGGCAACACCCGGGACAAAGATAAATAAACTTTGTTAGAAACATAAAAGGCAATTGGCCGGCTGGTTCTAAACTATGCAGAGCACGAAGACGCACACAGGAGTTCACAAAAAAAAAAAAAATAATATATATAAAATATCTCTCATAAGTTTTATCTTTTAAAACACGCTCAAGTGTTTGTTAAATTTCTGTGTTAATTTTTAAATTTTAGTCATACTCCTTCCCGGGTTTTCATACCAGTTTGCATGTAGTAAAATGCATAACTACACTTCGTGTTTCACGCATACCGTCACAACCCGAGATACAAGGAATAAATACATGTGCCTACTTTTAAGCGTTGTGCGGCCACGAGATAGTAATTACTGCAACTGCAACTAAAACTCGGTAATAGCAATTACTTTGCGCTTCGGCAAGAGGCTAGCGCATCAAAAACTGAAGAAAATTTTACTGTTCACTGCACGTCATACTCAAATTTAAACTTTCTCATCTGAACTAATACATACATTCATGCTCACTTATGCACCTACATTTACTTACAGTTACTTCCTTTTTCTTGCAACTTTCCCCTGCAATTTGCCACATTTTCTTGTAAATTTCTACCAAGTAACTATGACGCGTGCTACTTTCTTTCGTATAGTTTTTCACAAAATAATTGAGTTTTAATTGCTCCATATGCTTTTGAAAATTTTATAGCGCAGTTGTGCTCTTCTATGTACATACAGAGATATAAATTCGCCGTCCTCTTTCTATCTATCAGTCTAACTGACTGCATTCTGTTGTTGTGCATTTTGCTCATTAGGCGCTCGTTTGGCCTGTTTTCTGCGCTCATTTGATGATATTTAGTATGCAGTGGGGATGTGTGTATGTGTATATGAAGGGCTGTGTAGCGATTCACCAAAATTTCACTTTATGCTGGTCACGATTTGCTATAACTGCAGCGGCAAACATTTTTGACAGCAATTATATGGCTTCAAGAACGGGTGGGCTTTTCATACCTTCACCCTCTACAAACTTAAAAATTCTACTAAGTAAATATTTGATAAAAATTGATGATTTTGTAAATTTACGCTAGTCATCACTTCGTTTAAGTAATTTGCGGAGGAAACGCTAGAATTGACTAATTGATGTACCTTGAAATTATTTGGAAATCGTTATTAACAAGATAACAATTTGTTTTAAATTCTTCTGGAATAAATTTTAAAATTTTTAACTTCAACGGTTGATTTGTAGAAAATTTCAGCGAAAAAATTGTTTTAATATTTACATGGGCCGCAATTTGCACAAAAAAATTAATTGTTTGGCGAACCTGTAAGGATGTAGTGATTTTGTGGAACATTCAGAAGAAAAAATGTGTAGGTTTTTTTTTTGTACTCATATCATATGAATATAATTAGATTTTTCTCAAAATATTGATTAAATGTGTATGAAGATAATAATATTTTGAATTCAGAGATGCAAAATTATTTAAATGTGTATGAAAATAAGAATATTTGGAATTTAAAGATAGCAATTTGCACAAGAAATGTGATAGAAATTGTATTGAACTTGTGTCCACTCCGAAGAAAATATTTTTTTGGTTTTTTTGCACCAATATTTAATAAAATTTCTTTCAAAATATTTAAATGTATATGTAAAAAAATCTGACTAAAATTGGTTGGCAAACACTTCGAAGAAAACATTTTTAGTTTTTTTGTATCCATATTTTAAAAAATTTTTCTCAAAATATTGATTAAAATTTATATGAAAAATATTTTTAATTCCAAGATTGCAGTTTGCAAAAAAATATTATTAAAATTTGTTGCTAAGCCTGTAAGGATGTAGTAAACTTGTGGAACACTCAGAAGAAAACATGTTTATGTTTTTTTGTGTACTCATATATAATTAAATTTTTCTCAAAATATTGATTAAATGTGTATGAAGATTATAATATTTCGAATTCAGAGATGCAAATTTGCACAAAAAATGTAACTAAAATTGGTTGGCGAACCTGTAAGGATGTACATATTCATCTTGTGTAAAAATTCGAAGACATTTTTTTTGTATTGCACCAATGTTTAATAAAATTTTTTGTTCAAAAAATTATTTAAATGTGTATGAAAATAAGAATATTTTGAATTAAAAGATCGCAATTTGCACACAAAATGTGATAGACATTGTATTGAACTTGTGAAATATTCCGAAGAAAATATATTTTTTTTTTTTTTTTTGAGACAATGTTTAATTAAATTTTCCTCAAAACATTGTTTCAATGTGTATGAAAATGAGAATATTCTGAGGTCAAAGATCGTGAATAATAGCACAAAAAATATAACTTAAAATTTGTTGGGAAACCATTTTTTTTTTTTTGGATTGTTCTCTAACACCTATTTTTTAAACTAGATACTACTTAATTTCGCTATGGTGCGTTAAATTACAAAAATTTCAGTGCGAGTTTAAAAATATAATTTTATTTGTGAGTGAAGTTTAAGGCGAAATTTTAAGAATGGCTAATGAGATTTCTTTAGTACAGTGAAACTTCGATGTAACGACATTTAGTGGCTAAAAGGGTTTTACCCATAAATGTATTCCGAAGGTTTTCATGCTGAAAATTTCTTCGTTTAATATCAGCCCTAACAGCCAAAAATATTTAAGCGACATTTTTTTAATTTATTTTTAATGCAAAAATGCCTCTAGATGCTTTAGGAACATTTCTGCATCAAAAAGAGAATTTTGAAAAAATTCCGCTTACTTTTCCCAAATACGAGTTTTTTTCGGTGGACTTAAGAAAAATTTTGTTATAATTAGTTTTTCGTTTTATAAATCTTCGTGTTATCAAGGTTACACTGTACGATAAACATTTTTATTGATTTTTTTATGAACGCTTCAAACTATGATTAATAAATTTGCTGTGCCGTTAGTCTATTATAATTTACAACATGCGACGTTTGAATGTTTTATATGCTTTGAAGTGTATTTTGTACTACAAAAAATAAAATTAATTATAATTACTTTTTTAGTTGCGAAATCAAGTTTTAATAAAAAAATATATATTTATATACTATTTTCTCTAGCAAATATTTAATCAAAGAAACTAAAATAGCGAAAATATTTTTTTTGTTAAAAACGGTTAAAAATACTAAATAAAAATCTACAAAATTTAAACCAAAACTTATCAAAAAACATAAAACCTACATCGCATGCGCAGTTGTGCTTAATAATCACCTTTGAATATCAGTCAAAAAATAAATAAAAAATAAGAAATATAAACATATATGTATACTATAATTATAAAGACAACTGAAAATATTTCAATACTAAATACAAATATTAAACATTTAAAATTTATTTGAGTACTGTTTCGTTCGATGCATTGCTAAATTTTTAGTACTTCAGTTTAACATTTAGCACGCGTTTAGGCAAAATGCTGTGTTAGTAGATAAGTATGCGAAGTTACTGTGTGTTGCTTTTGTTGTTGTCTTCTCAAAAATTGGTTAATCGCATTAAATTAGTTTTAAAAATTTTTGCTCAAAATTTTCTTGTTAATTTTTTTAATTTTCAAATTTTGAATTTAAATTTTTCATTCAAATTCTTTTTGCAAAAAAAACTTCCCAACTACTTACTGCTGGCATAAGCTGATCTGTACTTCTGACGCGAGTCACCTTATTTTTCGTTACGAGCCTCTTCACGAATCTCTCCACTTGGACGTTCCACTTCATGAAGGTCACATACGCTATATAGATGCTAAATAGTATGAGCGCCTCCCACCAATAGATGAAATTATCGCGAAAAAAGTAAATGAGCACCATCAAACTGAGACTGTAGAAAGTGCAATCCCGAAACAGGGGCCACCATGTTAGCGCCAATATGGTTTTCGAGAATAGCGCACACATACCGATGACGAAGAGTATGTTGAAGACAGCGGAGCCGACAATTGTACCAATGCCAACATCATCGAACGAGATGAATACGCCAATGACACTGGTAAAGAGTTCGGGCGCACTACCGCCGGCCGCCATAAACGTAGCACCGGCTACATCGTCCGTGATGTCCAATTTCTCGATGATCACGTCCAGGGAAGGCACGAAGAATTCATCGCACACAATGGCGAGCGCTACGAACATGTAAATAACGCCAATTATGTGACATATAACAGCACCATTTTCCAGCTGCTCTCTGGTGAAGAGATCTTTTGGGAAGAGCGGCGCTTTCGTCACATTCGCATGGTTGGTTTCTGCAATGAATGAAAGAAGTAAAAGAAAATATTTAAATGTTGAGAATTTCAACTAGACTGAAAGGTATATTATTGTTTTTTATTTCATACCTCGAACTAACTAAGTACTCCCAAGATTTTTAACAGATCAAAATGTCAGTGAAAAAATTTTAAATATAATTATTAATGTATAAACGCTTTTTTACTTTGCACTTTCTACTTTTAACTTATTCCCACTTTTCATAGTTTGTGTCCATTTTCTACTATTCCTATTTCATATAACCTTTCAAAGACATACGACTTTGTCCAACTCTCGAGTTAGGATTTTATATACATATGTATATTATGTGCCCATGAGCAAAAATTTATGTCTCTTTAAATGCTAAATTTAGTGTCCAGTTTATAAATATAGAAAAAAATAATGTCCGCTTACAAATGACCAAAAACTTTTGTCCAGTTTTCTAATCACTAAGTACAAAAAAATTATCTCCCTTTTTTAAGTGATGGTAAATTTATATCCTATCTAAAAAACAAACAAGTAAGAGCAGCGCTGCCTTCGGCTATGCCGAAGGCTTCAAACCTTTCATGAACATCTGAAAATTTTAATTAAACAGATCGCAAAAACTGGTAACTGAACAATCAGTGGTATAAGAGATAAAGCTTATACAGCATACATTTTGACGATTTTCTCAGTAGACTTTGTATTATTATTTATAAAATAGCTTACGAAATTTATCGGTTTTATCTGTCCAAATAAAAAAGTTTTCCAGTAAAACCCCATATCTGAACAATCAGTTATAAGTGAGCCGAACTTTGTTAATTTTACTGTAAACTTTCTGTTGTTAAGGAGTGAAAATAGTGCGAAATCTCATGTTTCTAGCTGCATAAATGGAGGAGTTATAACGAAAAATGGCATATCTGAACAATCAGCTGTATGCGAGCTATATGTTATAGTGGTCCGATTTTTCCAGTTCCTACCAAATTTTATCCGGATATCTCGAAAACTGAGAGACTAGATTGCATACAAACAGACGGACAGACAGAGAGACGGACATGGCTAAATCGACTCAGTTCGCCGTTCTGATCATTTAAGTATACATTTTAATGGGTCTATCTCCGCTTATTCTGGAACTTACAAATATCGGACCGAAGTTATAATACCATTTCATGCACATGAAAGGTATAAAAAGATCGTTTTTGTTTTTCCAAGTTATAAAGCGCTTTAAAGCGCGCTAACTTTTCACTTTTTCCTTGCGTTTTGCTTGTACTGAGAAATGAAAAGCGGATCTTCGCAATGCGCAATTTTGCATTCATAATCGACACCTGAAACGCAAAAAAGCCTTAACCAACAAACCTTGTCTTTGCAATCAAAAAGTGAATTTTGGAATTATTTCAGGTGACGACATGTACATGCGATTTATTTATTTTTATAATTTTTTTAATTTTTTTCAAATATATTTGCGTTTTCAAAATATGTATTTTATGTTTAGTATTTATGTAAATACTTTTTGTATCTCAAATACTTTTATGTAAAGTATTTGTATTTTCTATTTAAATACTATTTTTCTAAAATCTCAGACCACAACTACATAAATATATTGCTTTTTATGCAAAGTATGTAAATGTGGGTGATCATCAAAAATATCAACATCATAGGGCACCCCATTATTTTGTTCTACGTACAAAATAAAGACAACCCCGAAAATTTCAAAATTGTAAACAATATTTAGAGGGTTAAGCTAGCAGGGTTTCAAAAAACTTGATTTTTTTTTATCGCAAAAATTCTAAAATTCTGGCCAGCTACAACTCAGCGAGCTTATGAATTTATATGAATAACTTTCAATAATATGTAAAATTTTACGCATTTCAGTAAGCAAAGTTTTCGAATTTTTGCGATTTAAAAAAAAAATTAAATTTTTTAGAATTTCGGTAAATGTATTTGAAATTTCGAAATCTTCGTGAATGTTTATTAATTATTAATTATGAAATTTAGATGTTAATATTCTAAAGACTACCCTAATATACTTCTATATGTTGGTGTATTAAAACTCGTGCCAATATACCATATTATAAGTTAGGCCCATAATACTCGTATGGCTCTCGGACCAAATTTGTTGCAAAATAAAAAAGAGGAATAAAAAACAAATTTCAACGCTGAATTTAAATTGTTTATGTTCCCCATATTTGAGCTGATGATAATGGACTTTTTTCAGATATGGCAACTAACGCCACCCACACAATGTCCAAAGCGCGCGCTTATGTAGCATAAAGAAGCCACAAACGTAGATACATATATGTATGTATAAAAATTTTTAGCACTACAAGCATACGTATGAACATCAGAATTACCTGTTCATTAATTGAAAATTAACGTTTAAAATAATAGTGGAATATATTTGTATAATTTGTCCATCAAATATTAATTTTTAAATTGGCGTGGATGGTCTTAACCTACGCTTTCTAAAAATAATCCTTCCTTATGCACTCCCCTCAATTAGCCATATTTTTAACTTCATTTTGACGTCGTCAACATTCCCTAGTCAGTGGAAAGTCGCAATCGTTTTTCCGACCCCTAAAGGCAAGCTGTGTGACTGCCCCCAAAACTATAGGCGCATCAGTATAATACCAGCGCTATCAAAAGTTTTTGAAAAAATTATTTGTAAACAAATAGTGTCGCATTTGAATAATCACAACCTGTTATCTGAGTACCAATCTGGCTTTAGATCTGGGCATAGTTGTACTACTGCAATACTTAAGGTTATGGATGATATCCGCCCGCTTTTGGTAATAAAATGCTCACTATATTGGTTCTCTTGGATTTTTCAAAAGCATTTGATTCTGTTAATCATAATATTTTACTAGCTAAGTTACAAGATTATTTTTGTTTCGACTCAACGTCAGTAAAATTAATAAAAAGCTACCTCTCGAATAGGCTACAACAAGTACAGTGTAGCAGCATCACTTCGCAGCGTATGACGATTTCCTCTGGTGTACCTCAGGGTTCAATCCTGGGTCCCATACTTTTCACCATCTTTATTAATGATGTTGTCAACTGCTGTCAAAACTCTTCAATACATCTATATGCTGATGATACCCAGATCTACCTTTCGCGTCCTATTGGTCTTGGCGAAGATTTAGTATGCAGGTTAAATGATGACCTAAAAAGACTGTGTAGCTGGGCCAAGACAAATGGCCTTTGCTTAAATGCAGCAAAAACACAGGTCTTACCTATATCTCACGACTCTTTCGATCTGAGTGAACTATCACCTATAGTCCTGGACGAAAGTCTTTTCAATACTTTTCAATCTGTTGTAACTAACTTGGGATTTAAAATGAACTCTCGACTAACTTGCACAGATCACATAAGCCATAGCATTTCTAAAATCTACCACATCCTCAGAAATCTCTGGAATAGCTGCTATTGTCTACCGACTAACATAAAACTTCTTTTAGTTAAGACACTTATTGTTCCTCAAATTTCTTATTTTGAGTTAGTATATAGCAATCCCGACTACGAATCTAAAAATAAACTAAACCTAGCTTTGAATAATGCTGCGAGATTTATATACAGCAAGCGAAAATTTGATCACATCTCGTTATATTTATTTATTTATTTATTCACTTTATTATTTTATTTACAATGGAAATGTATGATAAAACGAAAATAAAATTAAAAATACTTAGAAACTATACATAATAATGAGATTAACTTATGACCGAAGGTTGAGAATAGAATGAGAGAAATTTGAAAGTAGATGTTATGAATTCAGAAAAGATAATACTGCTAATTTGAAACACCCTGCCTTGTCTTAGAAGGAAGTGAGTTCCATAAACGAATTGTGCTGACAAAGAACATTCTAAACATACTAAAATTATTCTCTGCTTTAGTTTAGATAATTACTTAAAAGTGCGAAATATTTTATTTTTATTTAAAATAATACTTAACTTTCAATTAAAAACATAAATTCAGCTAGATGCTTTAAGACGGCAGTTACAGAACTTTTTACTTAGTTCTATGTTTTCTCATCTTTTATGTAACTCTTGTTTACCTACGTCATACTATTTCTTACACTGTTTTCATGGTTGGATAAGCCTTAGAATTTAAGTTTAGTTTAAGATTAAAATTTGTAATTGAATTGTAAAAATGTACAAAAAAGACTTAATGTCTTACCGTAATTTTGAGATAAATAAATAAAATAAATAAATATCTGCCGAAACATGTATTTATTCTGTGTATTAACAATGAGTATGTTATTGTAATACCGTTAAGAAATAAGTTGATACTTTTAAGTATTTAGCAAGATAAGAATAAATTAAGAAAAGAAAAAATTGCAAAACACAACATTTTTTTTTAATTTGTTCAATTTTATTTATGTGGTTATTTGCATTGAGCTTTTACTTTTTATCGGTAGCAAACAAAAAGCCGTCATCAAAATAAATATGTACAATGTAAACACATACATATGAACATTATTTACAATAGATACAATATAATTCTAGGAAATGACACAAAAAGGTTTAAAAATAAAATTCAAACGCTGATAAGGCCTCTGGAAATATGCAATGTGAAAAAGAAACTGTTCAAGTGCTATAGTCTGCGGCAATGCAGAAATCAAAAGATGTATTGTTGTATTGTTTCCACATGCGCAACCAGCAGTAAATTAAATTGGCACAGAACTGGTGCAGAAGGCAATCTAAAAATGAATAGTACTTCCATTTCCATGTTTAATTAGTAGAGGACTTCCATACTTTCTTTATAAAAAAACACCAAGTGTAGTCCTACGCGCGAAGAAGTGGAATTTCATAGAAAAATTCCAGAAAGGAAGACATTGGAAATAGATTTAGTTGTAATTCTTTGCGCGAGCTTAATTTTTTGTATCCTTTTTTTGTGATAAACTGCTTAATTTATTTACAGGGCGATTCGGACAACTGTCTTTCAACCCACCACAGTCTTTCGTAAGACAATTTTCAATTCTGCCAACTATGTATCTTGAAAGCCCCTTACTGTCTTTCGAGTGTTT